AAAAAAAAAAAAAAAAAAAAAAAAAGACCTCCTGATACATTCAACATGGGTGACTCCTAAAAACCTATGTTGAATTAAAAAAACCCCAGGATGCTAACAAATACATCCTGGGCCAGGTACGGTGGCTTTCACCTGTAATCTCAACAGCCACTGCACCTGGCCCAGGATGTATTTGGCTGAAGCGGGAGGATCACCTGAGCCCAGGAGTTCGAGACCAGCCTAGGCAATATAATGAGATTCCCATCATTACAAAAAAATGTTAAAAATTAAAATTTGAGGCTGGGTGTGGTGGCTCATGCCTGTAATCCCAGCACTTTGGGAGGCTAAGGCGGACAGATCACAAGGTCAGAAGATCGAGACTATCCTGGCTAACATGGTGAAACCCGGTCTCTACTAACAACACAAAAATTAGTCAGGCGCCCTGGTGTGCGCCTGTAGTCTCAGCTACTCGGGAGGCTGAAGCAGGCGAATCTCTTGAACCTGGGAGGCGGAGGTTGCAGTGAGCTGAGATCGCACCACTGCACTCCAGTGTGGGCAACAGCAAGACTCCGTCTCAAAAAAAAAAAAAAATTAAAATTTGGGAGGAATTTTTGAGCCCAGGAGTTCGAGGCTGCGATGAACTACGATTATACCTCTGCACTCCAGCCTGGGCAACAGAGTAAAATCTGTCTCTAACAAAATAAATACTTGGGAGGCTGAGGTGGGTGGATCACCTGAGGTCGGGAGTTTGAGACCAGCCTGACCAACATGGAGAAACCCCATCTGTACTAAAAATACAAAATTAGCTGGGTGTCGGGGCACATGCCTGTAGTCCCAGCTACTCGGGAGTCTGAGTCAGGAGAATTGCTTGAAACTGGGTGTTGTAGGTTGCGGTGAGCTAAGATCACACCATTGCACTCCAGCCTGGGCAGCAAGAGTAAAACCCCAGGCCGGGCGCGGTGGCTCAAACCTGTAATCCCAGCACTGTGGGAGGCCGAGGCGGGTGGATCACGAGGTCAAGAGATCGAGACCATCCTGGT